ACACGAAGATGGGCATCATGCTCCTCCATTGACTTCAAATACACTAAAATGTCATCAATAAAAATGACCATGAACTGATCAATGTACGGATGGAAAACTTTGTTCATAAGGTCCATAAACACTGAAGGTGTGTTAGTTAACCCAAATGTCATTACTACAAATTCGTAATGACCATACCGAGTCCTAAACACCGTTTTTGGAACATCTTTTTCTTGTATCTTCAACTGATGATACCCTGAGCGAAAATAGATTTTTGAAAAACTGCAACTCCCTTGAGTTGATCAAATAAATCTTCGATCCTTGGAAGAGGATACTTGTTATTTATGGTCACCTTGTTAAGTTACCGATAATCAATACAAAGATGCATCGAACCGTCTTTCTTCTTTACAAACAATACTGGAGCACCCCAAGATAACACACTGGTCTGATAAATCCTTTCTCCAAAATCTCTTGTAACTAAATCTTTAACTCTTTCAATTTTTTAGGGCCATCATATAAGGAGCCATTGAAATCGGTGTTGATCTGATATCACTTCAATCTAAAATTCAACCTCTATATAGAGGTAAACCAGGTAATTCTTTCATAAATATTTGTAGAAATTCTCTGACTGTCGAAATATTTCAAACTTCTTTCTTTGACTCTAGAATCGATCACATTGGCGATGTAAGCTTGGTATCCTTGTAGCATTAACTTTTGAGCCGACATCATTGATATCACATTAGCTAAGGGATTGATTCTCTCACTGGCCGTACTAACTTCTAGTCCATCAAGACTTTTTAACTTAACTCTCTTAAATGGACAATCTACATTAGCATGATAATGATACAACCAATCCATACCTAGGATAACATCGAACTCGTCAAAGGGTAATTCCATTATATTAGTACAAAATTTAATTCCCTAAATCCATATAGGACATCCTCAACAGATTTGTCTCACCCGAGCACTATGTCCTAATGTATTAGTCACGATCATCTCGCTACGAATAGGTTCTAACAGAATTCTCAAGTCTTTCACCAGTTTACTACTAACATAAAAATAATTCGATCCTGGATCAATCAGAACTAAAAAGATTTATCATTATCAGAAAAGTACATGCAATGATTTTAGGATCATCACAATCTTCACTGGTCTTAAAATTGTACAGTCGAGCAGTGGAGTGCACTTCAAGTTGAGTTATCGACTCAAACTGATTCCTTCCTCTACCTCTACCTCTCATAGGTGCAGCAGTAGATCTTTCTGTTTGAGCAGGCTCTCTGATCATCAATGGGTTGTCCTGAATAAAATGTCCTGATAAAATGTCCTGCCTCTATACACTTAAAACAAGCTCCAGAAACTCTTATGCACACTCCACTATGAGATTTTCCACAGTGTTGACATTTATTTGGCTTATCCACTACTAACTCCACTAAGTGAGTTAGTCTATCTCTTCCAGGATTTGATCCTCTACAGGATGCAAATGATTCGGATCTGGTCTGAGGTCGAAAATTGAACCTTGACCCTTCTTTGATTAGGAGGCACTAGAAGAGACACTATCTCTCTTATTCCATTATGTCCTTTGCTCCACAAACCTCTCATTTTGAGCTCGCTCCAGGGCTTTAGCTCTTTCACTACCTCTTGGAATGAAGAGAGGTTGAGTACCAGCAATAACTCTTTCAATTGAGGGAATAAACCCTCCACAAACCAATCACATGAGTTTTTTTATAGGGACCAATTTCGCTGTAAATCTACTCAACTTGTTGAATTTGCACTCGAACTCATATACAGTGCGATTCCCTTGCTTTAAACTCATGAATTCTTGCTCCATCTGTCACATGAGCTGATCTCTGATGTATTTGTTATTAAACTCTTCTAAGAAGAACGACCTGGTCCCTTGCAGCTCTCATTGTCACATTAGACCACCAAAGTATGGCTTGACCTCGCAGTAACGAAACTACACCATCAAATTTATCCATTTCAGAACAATGGAGATTCTCTAGCATTATCTTAAGGTTATTGAGCCACAGATCGGCAGCAAATGGACCTTTCTCTGCTTCTCCTTTAAATTGGGCGCTCCTAGGCTTCTAAGCTCCTTAGCCACATTCATCTTAGGAGCTGAGGAAGCAAACGGTTGGAAATGCGTCAGAATCGCGTCCAACTTCTGGAATAAGGTTCCCTGATCTTGTACAGGCACTTCCTGATATGCCTGTTCCTCACCATACCTACTCGGGGCAGGTGAGTTCCTACTTCCTTCATTCCTATCTCCCGCTTTTCTTCGGGAGTCCTCAAAATCATACATCTAATAAGATCAATTACTATTATATTAGTAAGGATAACATACAAGTCATCTTATCAAATCAGAAAGATTTGACTAAAAGTTGGCATGTACATTTTTTAAAACAAAAACAACTTTATTTCGAACTTAAAACCAATTAAACCATGGCTCTGATACCATTAAATGTAACACCACTAACTCGTACCTGACTTGAATATGAATATGAGGTATCACATTTTCAAAGCATAGATTATTAACCAATAAGGCAATTTAAACTTTTATTTATAATAAAAAAATAAAACCTTTAATTAAAATATTTAATAAAACTCACATTCATACTTAAGTAAAATCTTTAATAATTTATATAATTACAAAAGTATGAGTTTATAAAAATAGATCAGAGCATTTCAAATTAAACGTGCAGTACACGTAAACAATTTACAAAATTTTAGAAAACCTACATTCAATTTGTCTTAATCCGTCATCAAGGGAGTATGTTATCATCGACTAGCTTCACTCTTCTGATTTCTTCAAACCTACGTGTGAAACAGTCACACGCTAAGTCAATGACTTAGTGAGGTAAATACGAGAGAAAACTAAACTTTATAAAAGAAATCTTTATTTATTTAATAGAAACATTTTATACAGAATTCTTAATTGGTTTTCCATAACCATAAAGTATACTTTTATACGTTATTCATTTTATCTAACTTTATTTCCAATGCCCAACGTATACTACTAGAACTCTAGGTATTTGAGTACATTGAGGTTGTGCACTAATATTGTCACCGCAACTCGTATAATTTGCACCGAAGTACCACATAATTGTCTTGAAAGACCATAAGTTTGTCCCGAAGGACCACATAAGTTTTGTCCCGAAGGACCACATAATTTTGTCCTGAAGGATCACATAGAACCCTCGACCCTTGGCATGCCAACTATACATCTAATCCTCATACATATACCTTGGGTTTTTAACCACATAATTATTTGTCATTCATTATTCGAAGTATCTCTTATTCACATAGGCACTTTCATATGGAGTATTTTCGGATACAAATGTTCACAGGTCACATTTTCATAATCATAAACACATAATCATCAACATAGCTTACATAATATAAAATTGAATAAAACATTGTAAAATATAACATAAAAGAAATTGGAAGGTTTTTGATCGAAAATATGAGGTTGGCTTATCGCAAGCCTTCCTCAATTCTAGTACAAAACCAAGAAGTTACACTCACCTTCACCTCACTAAAGCCTTAAACGAAGTCCTTAATACTTTTGATCGATAACTTATAACGTCGATTTGACCGAAAGTTGATTTTATTCAACATCTACACAAAACAATCGAGAATAAATATCGGAATTTGAATCGCTTTATCCAATAATAATAACTTAAGCTAAAAGAAACACTTAATTTATCATTTCATGCTCAATAGTATCGGTACTCCTATTATAGTACCGATACTTCCCTTCTATGGTATTGATACCCCCTTCGGTACCGATACCATTTCAGCATACTGGAATTTCCACTTGAAAATGGTATCGATACTTACTCTTGGTATCGATACTCCTCTTTCAATATCGTTCCTCACTCAATCAGTACCGATACTGATCCTCGAATTCCAATTAGTTTAGCCTTGAAGTATCATACTGTTCTTCCAGTACCGACACCCTTACCCAGAATTGACGCTTTCCATTTCGAAATTTAACCAAAAACATAACTAATCTCCCACTTTTACCTCCTTCTATACCTTTAAACTCAACTTCATTCATCAAAATCAACTTGTCTTCAATTACTACTCCTAAACATACAAAATCTCACTAAAACTCTTACATCTCAAAATCATACCAGGATTTCAAGCAAGTTATTAATCATTTCTAATCCTCCTAACTCTTTAGTTAGATCCTTGACAAGTCAAATTTACCAATAATACTCCAAAAACCACACCATATCAACAATTCATTTCAAAACCCATTTTACAAATTCATTTCTAATTCCCTCCTTTTGTTGTTTTAATTCTATACAAGCTTTCCTTAAGCTTATATAACACCCAAGCTTTCAACACCAACCCAAAAATTGAAGGAACCAACAAATTTCAGAACTTACCTTTGAAGTGGAGCTCATTGGCAAGAGGAAGAAGATAATAGAGAGTTTGCAGACTTTTATCCCATAATCCACGTGCTTATCCTTAAGAAAGAGATAAAAAAATTTCATTGAGAAAAGGCCATAATCCTTCCAAAATTCCAGATTTGATATCAAATCCTATACAAAATTTCCATAATAAATCCTTGAACTTTTCAAACTATTGTAATTAAACCACTAAGTTTTAAAATCTTACATTTTGGTCATTGACCCGATGATTGGGTGTTACACAGTGGCTTGCGCACTCCATTTTCTACCTATGGAAAAATGTCATGATCGTATGGTAACATGTTTCATCTACTAATTGAAGGGTTAATTTATTAAATTAAATTAAAATTAGGATTGAACTGATTAAATATAAAATATTGAGAATTATACCAATGGTGTTAATTGGCATCAACACTTCCGTTAAAATTCAAGTAGTTTACCCTTAAACTAATAAACAAGGGTCAAAGTTTAAATTGTTTAGTTTCAAAACTTAAAGTTTAATTAAAATTCGATTGATTTTATACTTAGATTTCAAGTTTTTTTTTGAAAATAAAGATAAAATAATGTAGGGTTTATTTTATTTTCAGATACAATTTCGGGTAGAGATGTTAGCAGGTTATCCATTGAAGGAGGTTGCTGCAAGATTTGTGAAAAAATTTCGTGCAACATGGCTAGTACTCGACAGGTATGTGTTTTACACTCCTGGACGAGATAAATAATGTGAAGTTATTGAATATTTGTAAATATTTAATTTTTTTTTTACAGATTGAGATAACCTAAATTTGTTATTATTAGAATGATTTAGAGTTAATACAATATTAGCATTTAGATATTTATTATTTAATACAAATCAAGTTTCTTCAGTGGTTAAAGGAATAGTTGTTATTTGAAGGTCTCGGGTTAGAGCACATCGCATGTCAGGGTATTCGAGTGTTCATTGTCAAATGTATGAAGAATATTTCGAACATATACTATCTTATAATCACCCTTAGATAATAAAAAATATTCATTATCTAACTTCACTTTATTCTCTTAGAAACATATTCAAATATAGTTTATTTTTTCAAAGCTACTCCTAATTACTGTTTATGTTCGGGGTAATTAGTAAGTAAATCTAAGATTTAATGCAGATAATAAACTTAGATTTAAAGTAGGCATGCGATTTCGAAATAAAATATTACAGAAAATGTAGAATTTGACTTGTAGATATTCATAAGTCAAATATGTGCATTTTATTTTCTAATTGGATTTTGTATTTGACTTGTAAATTAAGATATGTAATGATTATATATTCATTTAATAATATTTAGATTTAATATAAATAATAAACCGACTTGATTCAAATAGTAATACATATAGATATAAAAAATGTAAGGTTTATATAACAAATATGTACGTAAAGTATGTTCTATTTGTCATTTATAAGGTTTATATAACAAATGTGTACTTAAAGTATGCTATATTTGTCATTTTTCATTTTTTTTGTCAAAATAAGTATCTAAAGTTATTTTTTAGTCAAATTAAATGCTTAAAGTATTTTTTTATCAAAATAGGTACATAATTTTTTTCATCTAAGTACCTAAAGATTCTTTAATTAATGCCACATTTCAACCTATTTTGACATAAAATACTTTATGTACTTATTTTGACAAAAAAGATAACTTTAGGTACTTATTTTGAACAAAACATTCTTTAAGTACTTAAATGAAAAAGAATGTATACTTTAGGTACTTATTTATGATATAAGCCGAAATGTAAATATTTAACTTGCTTTTCTCTTGATTTTACATTATGCGCTATATATGTACATTTCATCTTTGAAACAGGCACATGAAGAATGACCAAAGGTACTTTATAGAGAACCTATCATGTAATGTAGTAAGATTGAAGGAAGATTCCAATGCTGTAGAGTTAAGGGGACCAAATGTAAGGGATAACTTCAAACTTCTGGCTCCTAGTCGAAGTAACGTAACGTATTCGGAAATGATTCTGGCAGACGAACGGTCCCCTCCGAGTAAGTTATTCGGAAAGCGACGTGAAATATGCTGTTCATGTCAAGAAATCATAATTTCATTTCTTGTTGCAGAACATGGAGGGGAAAGCGTTAGAAATCCGTCTCACATTCATCTTCTGCTTCAGTTTCGAGCGTTTCTGTAATAGAACATCAGTTTCAAGTTATAATGAACCGAAGTCGTCGTCCTTGCATGTTCATGATGAAGAACATGCTACAACTACGGGACTGGAAATGGTGGGAGAACATTCCCCGGAATCCATCGATGAAAGTGGAGACCAGAAAGACCTGCATAGTCCGGATGAAAACTCGAAGCAACATAACGAAAACGATGATTGGATGGGAGGAAACCCCTGGGATCAAGTGTTCAAAAACTCCCGCTGCTCGATATGCAAAAATCGAAGGCCGAGGATCGGATGGATGAGAGACTTCACTTATGCGGAGCTCCTAGCCGCTACAGAGGGGTTCAATGATAATAACTTCCTATCGGAAGGAGGATTTGGATCCGTCTATAAGGGAGAGTTCAATGGATTGAAGATTGCTGTGAAACAATACAAGTACAATGCAAGCCTTCAAGGAGAGAAAGAATTCAAATCCGAAGTTAACGTGCTTCGGACAGCGAGACATGAGAATTTGGTCATGCTGGTTGGTTCTTGCTCCGAAGGAAACCATAGGCTACTTGTCTACGAATACATCTGCAATGGTTCACTCGACCTTCATTTATCGAGTAACGATTCTTTAAAGATGACACCTCGGTTTTTTAACTCACTTTCGTGGTGAATTATGACATCTAATCGATGTGTGTATGTTGTTTCTTGCTGAATTGATTGCAGAGTACTCCAGAAGACCTCTGAGTTGGGAAAAGAGGGTTAAGATAGCACTGGAAGCTGCTAGGGGCTTGCAATATTTGCACAAAAACAACATCATCCATCGAGACATGAGACCGAACAACATCCTTGTAACGCACGAATTCGAAACAATGGTAATAATCGAACTACATTCATGTCTTCTGCAAGTACATTCATTCATTTACCTCAACTAATCGAAGTCCGTAACTGGATCACTATTTCAGCTAGGAGATTTCGGCTTGGCAAGAACTCAACATGAAGATTCAGACAAGTCATCGGAGACTATAACTAGAGTTGTCGGAACATTAGGATATTTGGCACCCGAATACGCTGAATGTGGCAAAGTGTCGACCAAGATGGATGTTTATTCCTTTGGAGTTGTGTTATTGCAGCTCATCACCGGAATGAAGACTACGGACAAAAGACTTGGAGGGAAAAGTCTTGTAGGATGGGTAAACTCCGATATATACTAGTATCCAACACTAATCCGGAACTGGATAACGTAAACTAGTCCAACTATTACCAGCTAAAGAGCAGCACCAAGACAATTAGTAATGCATAAAAATGTGAGAAAGATCTTCCATTACTAAATACTTCGATCTTCATGCAGGCAAGACCACTACTGAAGGACAGGAACTACCCGGATTTGATTGACGACAGGATCATCGATTCACATGATGTTCATCAACTCTTTTGGATGGTTCGAGTAGCAGAAAAGTGTCTCACCAAGGATCCTAAGAAGAGATTATCAATGGATAAGGTAAGTTCTGAACAAGTTATTCAAATCAAGATTCATAGCTACAATGATTCAGCAACATCGATATCGAAATCGAGCTTATCTCACATGTTCGTAACACTTTGGATATCAATCTACCCCTTATTCATGTATCAGACAAGCGTCAAACATAGATATTTCAAGAAAAATGAAGAGTCCAAACAACTTGGAAATAACTAAAACCACACTGAGCATTTTGAGATTACATTTCGTAATTTAACAATCTCAATCCTTAATATTAAACAATGATTATTGCAGGTTGTTTTTGCTTTGGACTACATAACGGAACGTCAAAGCACTTTTAGCATCAAAGATTTCTCCCCTGCACAATCAGATACTGTGAGCAAGGGCTCGTGTGATTCGCAATCACAATCTCCCGACGAAGAAGATACATCCTTCACCATAGAAACTGCCTCCGCAAGTAGCCTTGGTCAATTTAATGTCAGGTTTCCGCCATCACCGCCGATTTGGAGATCATCGAACGCTTTCGCCTTTTTCAACGAGTCAGCATCCAGCAGTGGTCTCGATCGTGAAAGTCATCCATGATGATCCGATGTTTTAAAACTATTGACAGTTAATACTTGTTGATTAACTTCTTGTTGAACCGGATTCGTGCCAGTTATGTTGAAGAATTCAGGAAGTTTGATAAGCAATGTTGCAGTCATGCATTGAAAAATTCATGTTCTTCTATAATGTTTGAATGATTTTCTGTCAATTAGGACCTTTCTTTTCGCTGTGAATTAGGAAACATGGAACCGAATCGCATCAAATTAATCATTCTGAATGGATATTTACCATGCAATCATCTTCATCCTACTTGGCTTTTACGTATAAATTTTTTCAGATGGATTACTACTCATACGTCATTTTTCAGCTTTGGGTATATGTTAAAATGGCAAAATAGTGAATCATGGCATAGAAACAATGGTATTCATATTTCTGATCATTGATTTATCCATTGCAAGCATCATATATTTTGCACACAATCCCATTTCCAATTGATCATGAAATTGTTTCAAACAGGATTAAAGGAAAATCTCTTAAACTTCTGCAAATACCAAATATGTTCTCAGTAAACCTATCATGGGTCAAGTCGAGATGCAGCTCGAAATCTTTTTATTTGCTTATTGAGGCCAGTGTTCGGTGCAACCCTAATTACAAAATATCTTATCCAAAGTCTAAACGAGCAGGCTGTCGGTTCCTAGGACAACAAGTTTACTCCTCATTACTTATTTTCATGTCATTTATGCATAGTGCGACAGTTGGGACGGACATGTTCCGTCCTTCCCAAGATCATATCACTATACCCAAATATGAGTATGTGTCAACACTCGTGTTGGATATGGATACTTCGAGAAAAATAAAGAGTCTGAGAAACATAGCTGTTTGGGATTCCATGCTAAAAGTGCACAGTTATTCTAAAATTATAACAACAGCTTGAATACGTTTGTATACCTCAGTTCCTGAATGGCATGCAAGCATCCAAAAGTTCAAGAAAATAACACAAAAAAACATTATACCAAACATCCATGGCTCCCATCAGATTAGTCTCATCCCAAATATTCGGTTTGCTCAACTACTCGAATAAAAAAAAGTTACGGAAGCAATGAAAAAACAAGTTCTGGAGAAGATCATACCAGTGGGACAAAAGATCTCAAGGGAGTTCGGACATTTCAAAAGGCATATTATTCCATGCACATGAACCAAGGCCCCATTCTTGACTTGTAATGGATGTTCCGGCTGCCATATTCTTGTACTCCCTACTCAAATCGTCATCAAGAAGGGTTGCTGTGGCATCCGTCATGACTGTCTGGTCCGCATCATAACCATAACCTTGCTCGAGCCAATTAGAAACAAGTAATGTATCAGAGCGACTACTGTCCCACTGAATGGGAGCCTCTTTTTCAATCTCCGTAGTAAAAGCATTGTCAGCTGTTTCAGCTTTTTTATTACTCTGAATGAAATCCAAATCAAGTTACTAAATTCTAGAGAAATAGTTGAAAATTTTTATCTGGTAAAATATTAGTTCAACGACTCATAAACATCTGGTGAAAATAAAAGGAGAAAAATAAAAATAAAGATAATTTTCAAGTAGTTTAGACATCACTGGAATCCCATATAAGATGCTTGTTTCAAACGATCAACTTTTCACAATGTTAAAGATAGTTTTCTTTTTACTCATAATGAATGAAAAGTGTAAATCGAGTCTCAGTTTTAACAAGCCCACATCAGAGAGATGCTCACCAGGAAAGGTTTCAGCAGATGATGGTTCATCCGACGAACTGCCACTTGCACTGATACACTCACTGAAAAGAGAAGATGCTGAATGACCCATTGGAGAAAGAGGCTCACCACATTTTCCCCAAGCTGTGTTGCAAATGTCGAAATCAGAACTTTCAATTATATGACCAGGAGTTGTGAATCTGAACTCTTGTCAGATGCATGATTCTTCATACTGCTTAGAGTTTTTGCCTCATGAAATACAGCATCCAGCAGACCACCACTATTAAGGGGTGAAAGACTACCCGACTCTAGTCCACTGCTAGGTGGTGGCGACTGGATAAAAGCATCAACAGACTCGAGTAGAGGTAGCGAGCAAGATAAAGTGCCCCAGTTACCGAAATCAGTTTCTGGATCTTGGAGTGAAGGGAGCTCAAACTTCACGGCCTCTAAAGTAGGCTCTGAAGCAGAGAAATTGCCATCTGGAAGCGAATGGCTACCATGGAATACACCAAATGACTTGGAGTTCTTAGCTGCAGGATCTGGTCCAATGGGAAAGGATACCCCAAAGGATTGAGCAGCCTTGTTTGACGTACCACCTTCAAATTGCTCAAACAAGGGACATTCATTTTTAACAGCACCAGTATAATCAGGGAAAAAGGTTGTTGGTCCACAAAGGCGATTCTGGCAATAGATAGTTGGTGGCGTGAAACCATAATATTGAGAGGAGCCTAGGTCTTTCATTAGCACGCTGCTCGAGGATATACCAGGAAGTTCAGGGACATAAGGCAAGACATTTTGATTCACATTTAAATTGTCAAATATGACATCAGGTATCTCATAGTTGTCGTTCTGTAAGATATCATGAGGTCCTTTATCACCTCCATTAACTGAACTGGTACTGCGGCTCTCCTGCAGTGATTGCGTGCACACTTCAGGAGGATACAGAGGTAATCCAGCACGTCGACGTCTCTTAATCCGCGTATTCCAATAATTTTTTATCTCATTATCTGTACGACCAGGCAACTGAAAAAAAATAACAAAGCATAGAGAAACTTATTTCGAACACCCAAGGTTGGAATAGCTCTGTCATAGACCTCTAGAAGGCATAAATTGATATTACTCAACATCTAGCACAAAAGAGTACATTGCTCATTGTATGAAGACTCATCAAGACTCTAAAAAATACCTTCTTTATTTTATCTCCCTGAAACCGAGGATACTAAATCAAAAGCACTTTAAATCATTCCACATTGAGAACATAATTAAACCTTAGAACTTCAGTTAGTTCATCGGTTATGAACAATGATGGACATACGCTGCAACAGGAGTTAAGAAATGAAAAAGTAAAGTATAACAACATACAAAAGGGCCTCTTGCTTTGAAACAAATTTTCAAGTGCCCTTTTTCTTAAGGTACTTCTTAACTTTATATGATTTCAATAAATTTCTTTTATTTAAGCAATTATAAGAATTACTAGATTCACAGTAAATCAACTGAACACTTACATGAGCAGCCATCCGAGCCCATTTGTTACCCATCTTTGCATGGAGTTCAATAATAAGTTCTTCTTCTTGAGTAAATGCTCCTTTCTTCAAGTTCGGCCTCAAGTGATTTGCCCAACGCAAGCGACAACTTTTTCCACAACGAACTAGTCCAGAGTGCTTCTGAACAGAATAGCAGTTGCCTTCCCCAAGTTTCTTCACATAGTCGATCAAAATTGCGTCTTCGGCAGATGTCCACGGACTTTCTTCAATGCAACTCCCCCATCTGTAGCAGCTTCAAAGTCGCCATCATCAATTATCGGCGATGCCATTTGATCTTTAGAGAACATTCCATTTCCCCTCTCATTTTTTGTGTGATCCATCTCTTCGCTATTACACACAAAAGATTGCTAACAGGTAACCGTCCAAAACCTAAAATCAGAAAAAAGATTGAAAAGTCAAAAAGTAGAGCAAATCGAAGAATAAAAAACAGCTCATATTTTCTAATTAATACTCTTTATGCATCAAAAAGAACTATAAGGCAATCAACAACAACACTCTTTTATTTGAATGTTAATATAAGAAATGCGAAAGCATACATAAACACATTAAATCAATCAAAGGAAGCAAAAGTCGCCGAGATAACATAAGTGCAACTCTCTATAGATAACAAATTTCTAAATGACAGAAGAACTCACCAGATACGAAAAGATTAAAATCAATTAATCGAAACGAAAATCCACAAATAAAATCCAGCACACATATCGAATTCTACTCCGAAAAGGGCAAAATCATCCCATTCTTTGGCACTTAAAATCAAACCCTTTTGCCCTATATGGAAAGCAGAATATATCAAAGAGACCAATTCCTAGAAATGATTAAATAAATAAATAAATCCAGGGCAAAAGGAGAGTAAAATCCAAATTGCATTTACTGCACTGTAATTCTCTCACAAAAAACTCCAATATATCCAGCAGTAATAAATGATTTTTGCTGATGAGTGACTTACACTCTAAGCTTAGTTAACATTTTATTGATGTTCACATATTCTTTCAATAAACATGGCAGATAAATAATTGAATATATTGATTTGCAATTGAAAATGATTAGAAAAAAACTAAATTTACATTATATTAATCCAAATCTAATAATTTCATTCAATAGGCACAGAATTTCAAAATTAGAAGAAAAGTAGTATCTCAATTACCATGCCTTAACGAACTATTCTGGGAGAAGCTTCCCAATAATGAAATTCTTCGAACGAGTTCAATTACGGTTCATGATTGAAGTGAGCGCCAAGACAAAAGCGGCAATGGAAAACCTGAAATTCAATCCCCAAAAGATTCATAATGATAGTGAATTCGTTGATCTAGAAATAACAATAGAAAAAGAGCAAACGCTAAATAAAATTTCCTTTTCTAACCGTAATTTCTGAGCTACAAGAATCAGGAGCCGAAAAGAGCAAAACATTGAAAACTACCGAATAAGCAATTACAAAAAGGAAAGCTCTTTTCTTTTCTTTTCTTTTCCTGGATTTTAAGGTTTTCTGTTTTGGGTGAGAGAAGATCAAAGGAAGCGATTTATATAATCTGTAGTGTTATTTTTAGATTGGAATGAGAGATTTTATTATTGTATATTTATATAAAATTTTTATATTTAATAAAT